CTCTGCGAACTCCACCTGCAGCCGCGGGGGAGCGGCCGGCGCGGGCCGAGCCGATGTCCCCGCTTCCTCGCGCCGCACCCGCGGCCTCGCTCTCCCTCGGCTTTCCCTCTCCCGCTCTTCCCCCTTCCTCTTCCCTTCCCCGCCCGCCGGGTTCCACCGGCGTCCGACGGCTTCGGCCCGGCCTCGCCTCCTGGGGGCGGGGTTACTGGCCGCGGCGGCCGCCCCCAGCCACACGCGCCCCGGATAGCGCTGGACCAAAACAAACCTGTGCAAAATAAATACGCGGGTTAGGAAGCGAGGGGAAGAGGAGATGGCCGGCCTCTTCGTGCCCTTTCACAATATTCGCGTCTACCGGGAACCCATTTGCTGGACACTTTCAACAAAAGGAGGAGGAACCTGCCCTGAGCGGGACTTGAAGAAATGGGACAGCTGGGAGCTGCTGAACTTTGCAACAAACTTGGCTTGGAGCTGGGTCGAGTCTCTGCAGTGCACGCCTTTTTCTTTCTCTTTTCGCCGTTATAAAATCTAGCCTCGCTGAAGCACAGAGCATTTTTAGGGCATTGAAACTACTCTGTGTGACACGGTAAGGATCATGTCACTATATATATGTCTAAGCTACAAAGAATGTACACCACCAAAAGTGAGCCCCCATGTAAGCTATGAACTTCGGGTAATAATGATGTGTCAGAGTAGGTTGATCGATTTTAAGAAATGTACCACTCTGGTGTAGGCTGTTGATGATGGGGGAGGCTATGCATGCGTGAGAGCAGGGGAATATGACAAATCTCTGTACCTTCAGCCCTATTTTGCTGAGCCTAAAACTGCTTTTAAAAATATGCCAGGCCCAGTGGCTCACGCCTATAATCCTAGCAATCTGGAAGGCCAAGGCAGGAGGATCCCTTGAGCTCAGGAGTTTGAGACCAACCTGAAAAAGAGGGAGACCCGTCTCCACTAAAAATAGAAAAAAATAGCCTGGGTCCCGGCAGGTGCCTGTAGTCCCAGCTGTTTGGGAGGCTGAGGCAGGACTTGAGCCTACGAGTTTGAGTTTCTTGTGAGCTAGACTGACACCTGGGCCTCTAGACTCGGTCTCAGAAAAAAAAAAAAAAAAAAAAAAAAAAGAAAGAAAAAAGAATCTAATAAAAAGTTTAATACTAAATCAGACATTGCTGCATTCCAGTGAATTTAGGGTTAGGAAATGGCCCTAGAAGAACAGGAAGAAAATATATTTTTCTTCACACCCCGTGTGATTATTTGTAGAGAGTCGGTTAGGGGAAGTGGTGAGAACCCCAGAAACTGTAATTTGAAGTCCTCACCTGTGCCACCTGGCCCATGAAAGTATTTCAAAGCTGGAAAGAACTGTGTAACAAAAGTTATGTGTATCTGTACAATACACATCTTAGGTTCAGTAGGTGCACATACATACTTTTACACAGAGGGGGCAGATTCTGGAATCTCACAGAAAGATTACCTAAGGGGAAGGCAGAAACATTGCCTGGATGACACCTTAGGGAACTCTTTTTTTTTGGAGACAGAGCCTCAAGCTGTCACCCTGGATAGAGTGCTGTAGCATCATAGCTCACAGCAACCTCCAACTCCTGGGCTCAAGCGAGTCTCTTGCCTCAGCCTCCCAAGTAGCTGGGACCACAGGAACCCGCCACAACGCCCGGCTATTGTTTGGTTGCAGCCCTCATTATTGTTTGCTGGGCCCAGGCTGGATTCAAACCTGCCACCTTAAGTGTAGTGGCTGGCTCCTTAGCCACTTGAGCCACAGGCGCCGAGCTACCTTAGGGAACTCTTGTAGGGGATGAACAGACCTTTATCTTCAGTCTCTCACTTTATTTCTGAGAGATTGTGAGCGCTTCTCGTCTTCAGCTATAAGAGAGAAAAAGCAAGGGAAAAGAGGGTCACTGAAAATAGCATCTTGGGTGCTGTTTCTTTGCCTTCTCAATAGTGGTTGTTGCTGCCCGAGAAAATCTTTCCACTTTTAAACAGGTAAGAGCCACAATCAATTCATCAATTCTGTGGAACTAAGGAAAATCCACAAATTAAAACTTCCTTATGCATAAGTAGACACTTGGAGACCAGAAATTAAAGCAGAAAAAGAAAAAGCTATGGTTCTAGACCTTTATAGTTGTTTTTAAGTGTTTGGATTAACTTTAAATAAGAGAGTGTTTGTCACTTGCCTTCAAGGATGAATAATTTGGAGGCCCCTAGTTGACAACAGTGCAGCTTCACTAACCCATTGGGGTCAGTCTCTACCATTATTCAGAATCTCTGTTTGAAAGTTGTTCTGGATCTCTCATCCAGTCAGAGCTCTGGGAACCCACACTTTTGTGAAGGGTGTATGCTCAAGCCCACTCTACATTCAATAAACATTTATGGTAACCATTGTGTGCCAAGTACCGTGCTAAGGCTGTGAGAAGACTCAAAGAAGGAAAGAGGCTAGTATTCTGGGATCAACCCTGTAATCCCAGCACTTTGGGAGATGGGGGTGGGAGGATCACTTGAGCCCAGGCTCAGAAACTCAAGGCAACAGAGCCTGTTTAAAAAAAAAAGTCACAAACGGCTTCTCATTTTAAATGAAGAAAACATGTTTTCTTTCCTCCAATGACAGAAAAGTCTATCCAGTTTAACATGAAACAAAACAAAATTTGGTAAATTCTATAATTCAATGGGGAAGGAATTATCTTTACGATTGGATACCCCCGTACAAAAGAATAAATTTGAATCTCTACCTTATACCATATACAAAAATTAACTCAAAGTAGATCATAGACCTAAATGTAAGAGCTAGAACTATAAAACTCTTCAAAGAAAACATAGGATTAATTCTCTATGACTTTGGGTTAGAAAATAATTTCTTAGATGTGACATCAAAAATGCATAAATGACAGAAGAAAAACTAAAGTAGAATTCACCAGATTTAAAAACTTTTGTGCTTCAAAGGACACCATCAAGCACACTGTACCCCATGATAGTATTAATGTACACAGCTATGATTTAATAAAAGAAAAAACACATAAGACCAAAAGAAAAAAAAAAGGACACCATCAATAAAGTGAAAAGACAAAATGAAAGAAAATATTTGGAAATCATATATCCAATAAGGGTTTGTATTCAGAATATATATTTTCTAAAAAAATCGACAGGCCAGGCTCACACCTGTAATTATAATACTTTGGGAGGCTGAGGTAGGTGGATTGCTTGAGCTCAAGAGTTGGAGACCAGCCTGAGCAAAGCAAGACTCTGTCCTGGTAGGCAGCTGTACTCCCAGCTACTCCTAAGTCTGAGGCAAGAAGATTGCTTAAATACAAGAAACTGAGATTACTGTGAGCAATGATGATGCCACACCACTCTACCCAGGGTGACCAAGTGAAACTCTATGCCCCCCAAAAGTAAATAAATAAAAATTCCATACCTAACATGTACAATGCACACAACCAGGTGATGGGCACATATATAACACTTGGATTCAAACTGTACAAAAGTATTTCATATAACCAAAAGATTTGTACCCTCATACTCTGAAATTTTTTAAAAGGTTTATAATTCAAGAATAATTTTTAAAAACCCAATTAGCCTAATTTTAAATGAGATGGCTCACACCTATAATCCCAAGACTTTGAGAGGCCAAAGCAGGAGGATTGCTTGAGCCAGGAGTTCAAGGTTACAGTGAGCTATGATCATACCACTACACTCCAGCCTGGGCTACAGAAACCTGTCTGTTAAAAACCATTAAAAAATTTAAACTAAAATGGACATTCTCCAAAGAACATATATACAAATGGTCAATAAGAACATGAAAAGATGCTCAACTTCATTAGTTATTAGGGAAATCAAAAGCACAATGAGATACCACTTAAGATGGCTAAAAAAAAAAAAAGGCTAGACAATAGTTAAGTTTTGATGAGGATGTAGAGAAGTTGTAACCTTCATACATGGCTGGGGGGGACATACAGTGGTGCAGCCAGTTTGGAAAACAGTTTGACATTTCCTCAAAAAGTTAAACACAGAGTTGTCACATAATGTAGCAATTCTCCTAGTATATATCCAAGAGAAATGAAAATTTCTACATACTAAATCTTGTACATGAATGCTCATGGTGACATTATTTATTATGGTCAATAGGTAGATAGAACCAAATGATCATCAGCTGATGCATAGATAAACAAAATGTGGTATATCCATACAATGAACTATTATTCAGCCTTAAAAAATCAGTGAAGTACTGGTACATACTACAACATGGATAAACCTTGAAAACATTAAGCTGAGATCAAGAAGCTGAGACAAAAGATCCCATGATGCATGATTCTATTTATATGAGATGAAAAGTAGATTTGAGGTTGCCAGTAGAGGAGGAATGGGGAATAATGTCTTAATGGGTTTCTTTTTGGAGCAATGAAAATATTTTAAAATCAGACGTGGTGATGGTTGCACAATTCTGTAAATAAATTAAGGGATGAATTGTATGGTATGTAAATTATCTCAGCAAAGGTGTTAAAAAACAGAGCTTAACCAAATCACTGTAAAAGCATAGGAAACAAACACTGGGGAGAGGATTGTACTCTGAAGTCATAATATTGAAGAAAAGAAATCAGGCAGGAATTACAAGCAAGAACAACTTAATCATATGAAAGAAAATGAAAGGTGTGGTCAACTAGCAACTAAATAAACATGCCAAAACATCTTATCCTTCCAAGTGAGACAGGAGCCAAACCCATAGAAAGAATATGATAAGAAACTTGGAATGAAAATTTACAGACTAAGAGTAAAAACGAGATTTGTCTTCAAAACTGTAATGTATATTAAAAA